AAACTCCAGCATTATCATTACATGTTGCTGAACAAAAAAGTGAAAATGTCACCTAAAAAGGGATACAGTCTTTATAGGTAACAGTTCATGTCTACAATATGATCACTCTCTATCACTGCAACATCACAATATATTAAGTTTTTTATTACTACTGAATATTTATTTTTTATTTTTATCCAGTGAAATGGCTGAAAAAGATACTAATGAGCATATACTGACTGTTCTCAGTTCATTAAATAAGTGATAACAACAACTAACATTAATGAAGTATTTAATATGTGCTAAAAGCACTGATTTAAGTGTTGTTTTAGCTCTTTTGCCTACTCATAAAAAGATTACCTCATAGTTACATATATGTCTTACTATAGCTCAGCTGTAGTAAATATATGTAACTATCAGAATTTTTTGTGTGTAGAGAAGAGAGCTATTATTTATTGAGCTCCTAATATTATTACAGACAATGTCTTTGTTTAGGCCTCATAACAATCTCGCAGTGTAGGCAACTTCAACCATATGTTACCAATACAGACACTGATGCTTAGAGTGTTGTATGGATGATCAATAACTGTGCCAGAAAGCACACCCAGACCTGCCTGACTCTCAAGTCATGTTGAGAGCAGAAGGCAATGAGAGGAGGGGGTGGGTACTGGATGAAGCTAGTTCATCAGAAGCCCAGTAAAGGAATTTTGAGAATGGCCAAAATAACAGTACTAGAGAGGCCGAACAAGAACACCAAAGCAAAATGGTCAGAGGTAGAATCAAATCAGATTATAGAGTAAAAAGCAGGACTGGATGGTACAACAGATTGGGAACATATGAAGGTAAGCAATCTTGGACTCCAGTGGTACAGGCTGTTTCGGTGAGTTAGATGTCTTTAACTGAGAGGGAGAATGGAACTAAAGTAACAACACATTTTTCTACTATATAGAAAACTCATTATATAATTTAATTAAGTAAACATATGCACTATTCATAAGGTTTGTTCCTCAAAACAAAATAAAACAAGATTTGATTGTTCTTCCCCCTAAACAAAATGTCAACTTGTTATACATTTCTCAAAAACTCCCACAAACATTTCATACTCTCAGTACTTTCTTCTGACAATGCTATGCAGAACGAACTGCTCCCTCATCTATGTTCCCGAAGACTTTATACAAGCCTATTTTTATGACTGCTTATATGATTGCTTCCCTTACTAGAAGATGAATCCACAAGGGCAGAGATTGTCTTATCACCTTCAAACCCACAGAACAAATAAAATGTAGACAAAAAAACAAAAATGCCAATAATTATATTAATGTAAATGGCCTACCAACCCAATTAAAATCCTATGATGTCAAATAGAACAATAAAACAAAGCCAAACTGTACCTTTCTATAAGAGATCCACTAAGCTCTAGCTGGACTGCTCAGTGGTTGGAGCATTGGCCCTCAAACCAAAGGGTCATGGGTCAGATTCATGGTTAAAGGTACGCACGTACTTTGGTTGCAGGTTCAATCCTGGCCAAAGTATGTGAGGGAGGCAACCAATTGATGTTTCTCTCTCTCTCTCCCTCCTCCCTGCCTCTCTTAAAAAAAAAAAAAAAGACCCACTGTAAATATAAAACATAAATTAAAGAAAAGAATGGAAAAATATATATTATACAAACACTAGTCAAAAGAAAGCTGGAATGTGAAAAGATAATAACTGAAAATGGGTAATTATTAAAATGGACAGTACAGTGATCAGGGCCAAAACCATATTTCTGGAGATCTAAATTTAAGATATTGAAAATGCGAAGTCACTCCCATCTTTAAACTGAGTTCCCTGAATCCTCTGAACACACCATTCCTACATCTCACACTTAACAGCTAAATCCATGAGATACTTGGTTAAATTCAGTGGGTTTTTGGTCAACTTCCACTTACTTGTCCACCTCTTATTGAAAGAGTCTTTGCTAAGGTTACCAAAGGTCTCCATATATTAAACTGAAAGGCCATTTTCAATCCTCCTTTCATTTGATCTTCAACAGTATATTAGACAATTGACACATCACTCTTCTTAAAATACTCCAATCTCATGGCATCGTACATACATTCTGGAGTTTCTTCTTAGCTCTTTTTTTTCCATTTTAAGTTATTTTTATTCTTCTTGTGGTCAATACATAACAGAGCAGTTGAGGTGTATGATAATCAAAGAATCATTCATGATTGAATACATTTAATACTCTTGCTACATCAGTGCAGCATATTAAAAAGTCCACTGTAATATTTAACTCAACTGTTTAAGGCATTTACTGGATTTCTGATATTACAGATTTGAAATATAACATCAGTGGGGTGAGGAATTGCTTTTAAAAAAATCTTTATTGTTGAGAGTATTACATATGTCCCCTCTTTCCCCCATTGACCTCTCCCACCTTCCTCCACTCCCCAGGCCTTCAAGACCCTATTGTCTGTGTCTATGGGCTATGCATATACGCATATGAGTTCACTGGTTGATCTCTTCCCCCACCCCAACCCTCCCCTGCCTTCCCTCTGAGGTTTGACAGTTTGTTTGATGTTTCCATGTTTCTGGGTCTATTTTTGTTCATTGGTTTATGTTGTTCATTATATTCCACATATGCGTGAGATCATATGATACTTATCTTTCTCTGACTGACTTATTTCGCTTAGTTAGCATATTGCTCTCTAGGTCCATCCATGCTGTTGCAAATTGTAAGAGTTCTTTCTTTTTTACAGCTGCATAGTATTCCACTGTATAGTCTTCTTACCTCTTCATAGCCTCCTTTGCAGCTTCATCCTCTTCTACTCAAGCACTATATGCTGGAGTTTTCAAGTTTCATTCTGGGGCCCTTTTCTCTTCTTACTTCATAAACTGTCTCTATATCGTCTCATTCTTGCTAACAGCTGCAAGTCCCACCCATATGACAATGACTTAAAATTTATATATCCATGTGGCATCTTGCTTGAATTCCACAGCAAGCAGCCTTCTTGACATCCCCAGTTTGATGTCTCAAAAGTTCCTCAAAATCAACATACTTAAACCAACAATATTCCCTCCTGTTGCATTGCTTTTCTCTTAGTAAATAAGATCATTGATCTATTTCCAAAAGCAAAAATCCTAAAATTGTCTGACACACCCCTGCTCATGTTCTTCCCATCCAATTGTTTCTTCATACCAGGGCCAAAGTGATCTTTTTAAAAAATCAAATCTGAGCACATCACTCCTTCTTTAAAGTTTTACAATGACTTTTCCTTTGCTCTTAAAACAAAGACAACAAAGTCTGACCTTTCCCTTCTCTAGCCCCTCCTTATCACAGACACTCTTGCCTTTGTTCTCTTTATTCCAGCCACACTAGTCTTTCTCAGTTTCTTCTTCCCATCACAGAGTCCTTGTAGACGCTCCCACTCCCCTCCTCCTGGTCTGGAACACTACTCTCTTCCACCCCCAGATCACTCCTCTCCAGTCTTCAGATATTAGCACAAACATCACGGACCCTGAAAAGGCTTTAACCCCAACAGTATAATATAATATTAACCAAGGAGGTCAGAGAGTTAGCAGGGAAAAAAATGTATGTTTCAGAGAAAGGTTAGAATAAATTCCAAATATTTATTTTAAAAAATGTTTAAGTTTCCTCTTCATTTTAATTTCTCTTGGTGGATGTTAAAATTACTACTGTTTCATCAAGAAAGTCACTTTAAAAACTGAACCCAATTAAACTCATATCTCAGGTCCCAAATAGCAGGTTTGTTTATTTAGTGGCTACATTACCAGTATTTTTCAGCCAATAAATATTTGTTGATCACCTACTGTGGGCCAAACTGTTCTTGGCACTAGAGTGACTTCACAGCAGTGAGGAAAACACCCAAAATTGCTTATCTTTATGGAACTTATATTGTACTGAGGTTAGGGAGCAAATAGGTAATAAAGCAAATAAATAAAATATACTACATGTCAACTGATGATAAGTGCTATAGTGAAAAATTTAAATCAAGGAAGATGGAAGGTAGATAGGTGAGCTAGGGCAAGAGTGAGATAGAGTATGGGGGGAGGGAAGACTGGTGGTTGCAGTTATAAATACCCATGATCTTCAAGGCTTTATTGGGATGCTGACATTTGAGCTAAGACCCTCAAGGAGCTGAAGAACCAAAACCTAGCTGTGCATCCATTTGCTTTAATGCTAAACTCTTTTTCTGTTGAAATGAAATGGGTCAACAGCTGAATGGCAGATTGACACTGTTTTTACTTACAAGTTACCCTGATTTATTCTAATCAAACCAAAAAGGGTTTTGGTTATCTATCACTGTTGATATATCTGCCTTTTGAGAAAAAAGTTTAAATGTTTATTTCATTCCCTTATTTCACAAGCATTCATTTTTTTATATTCTCCAAACACATATTTCAAATGTAGGAAATTTTGTTTAGTTTTAAATGAGCCCAAATTTCATCATGGGCTAAAATTTTAAAACATAAAATGACTGCTGGAACTGAATTTTAATCATATAGATGAATCACAACATGAATTTTAGCTAGGCATGTATTATGGATGTCTCGTTTTCTACAGAGAATAATCACATGTTCTAATTACCATTTTGGTTATACGCATAATTAATAATATTCTGTCTTAATGGGACACACTGAATCTTCAGACAGTTGTAAGCTTTCACTATGCACACTGCCAAATCCAACTGTCAGCTGCACTGCCAAACACAAAGGAATCTTGATGTAGTGCTTTAGCATTGATAATAATATGTACATCTTTATACATGATACAATGGAAATAAATTGCTTTTCTTCCTTCATAATTTTCTACACACTAATAATTTTATAGTGCTTGATTGATCATTTACCCTAAATACTATGTATTGGCAAGTTATCTTAAAAGCAATGAATACATGAATGCAGATGTGACCCAAGATCCAAAGAAGAAGACAAGTGGGGATAAGGACACATATGTAATAACTTAATCAATAAAGAAATTATAGGGGAAAAAAAGAAGACAATTTTGTAGGACTTACTGATTGTAAACTTTCATTTTCACGTAAACAAGCTGTGTGAAGTTCTGATTTCAAGGTTGCAATGTGACTTCGATGAGATGTCATTTCCTTCTCTAAGGTTGCAATTCTGGTGCTTGCAAGCTGGTAGACATCCATGAAGCTTTTAATCATAGCCTAAAGAAATAAAAATAATGTCACATACAAGTCAAACAGAGCTGTCCCCAAAGAAGAATTTCCATAATTTGAAAGCAAAATCATTAAAATTGTTAAACAAACTACTTTTCATCTTTCTTTAAAAAAATAAAGCTACACCTCACATTTTATATTGAGAACAGTGACTATTTTAAGACAGTTTGGGGGAAAAATAATTGAGACTTCTTTTCCAGACTATTTATTTAAATAAGATGTACTTTGATCTATTGTGCTTAAAATTTAGAATGCAGTTCTTAAAGATGGCACACTTATTTTCTTTGTAAAGCTAAATTCAAGTTGTAATTTGACCCACATTTCAATCTTAAGGCACACAACAGATGGATATGTAAGCAAAATATTTCAAAATGAGCTAAATTAATAAAAACATTTCAATCTACCTTACAAACAAGTGTTTTTAAACAAAAGGAACTAAGATGATCCTGTGATTTTTAAGAGTAAATGACATTCCTATATTGTTAAAAAAAAAAGCATAATTACATTCATTCATATAATAGAGAAGTGCCCTTGCATTATACTATATATAATAAAGTAAGAAACACATGCAAGTGCTGGTAACTTTTTCTCTCATCTAAATAGTATAATATTTGGGGAATTGTTGGACCTCCGTATTACAGATTAATCATATTTTATAGACTTTTTCTTCTAAAGCAACCTGAAGTGAATTTTGAGTCCAAGAATACTATTACACTTTTTTTAAAAGTCTTTCAAAATATTTCAAACATAGCAAAGTAAAATCAAACATTTCTGAAATATTCAAATATAATGTCATTATTTACAAGAAAAAAAAATGTTCCAGCCACAGTCACAACTTAGTACAATGGTAAACGTCCAAGAATTTCCAAATTATACTTAATCTAAAGAGTCTAAATTGTGTAAGCTTTGAGAAACTTGATATTTGAGCAATTCATATGAAGTAATAATTTGGTAACAAAGGTACGTACCCACACACACACACAGTGTCTAAGAAATAGAAGTAGGTTAGTATTTGTAGGTAAGAACAAAAAATGTCACACCTTTTTGCCAAAAAAATTCTTATTATCCCTCAAAAATCATGCTCAGACACCACCTCTCCAAGGAGCCGCTTTTGAGCCCAAAGGCAGTATTATCTTCTACATAGGTTCCCTGTGAACCCCTGATGCTTGCTTCTATTATTGCATGTATTTTTAGCAGAAATGCATTTGGTTACGTCTATCTTTACTAGACGAAGAAGCTCCTGAAGCCAGATATTGTGCCTTATCATCTCTGTATCTTCAGAGATGATAGCAGCCCACGGTTAGCACTTGTTTGAATGAATGAATAAATGAATAAATGAGATTTTAAAAAAACCACAGGTTGAAGCCATAGGCTGGTATAAAAGACCTTATAGGGCTTTAGCTGGTTTGGCTCAGTGGATAGAGCATCGGACCGTGGACTGTAAGGGTCCCGGGTGAGTCCTGTCAAGGTCACATGCCTGGGTTGTGGGCTTGATCCCCAATAGGAGGCCTCCAGGAGGCAGCCGATCAATGATTTTTTTCTCATCATTGATGTTTCTATCTCTCTCACCCTCTCCCTTCCTCTCCGAAATCAATAAAAATATATTTAAAAAAATAATAATTTTTAAAAATAAAATACCTTATGGGAAAAAAATTAAGATATTTTGGAAAATATACTCTTAATACTCTAACGAATAAAGTATTAATCATACTTTGTTTTAGGTGAAAGAAGATACAAAAGCATATCTGTGGGCATAAAAGAAAGGACAGAGTACAAAAAAGTGGATTCCATCACCCAACACTAACTAAGCATGTATGACCTATGTTTGGAAGCATGTCACATATCCTAGCTTGCCTTCTTTTGAGTAATTTTGAGGTAAGCTTATAATTAAGACTAACACAAAATATTTTCCTAGGTTTAAATAGTATACAAAAATCAGAAACTGTAAAATCATATCTATTCCTTCCTATGCTAAGTCTCTCTCCTCTCTAACAAATTCATTCATCTTCTCCACTGAGATAATGGACCAGGAATCACCAGTCCTACTTCTTTTTTTATCCTCACTCTGCCACTTACTAAGCTTTATGTTGTTGGGCAATGCCATGCCATCTCTCTGAGCTTCCATCTCCTTCCCCCATGAAATGGGAAGAAGAGTCATTTTTTTGCCTGTTTCCAAAACTATTGTAAGGCTCAGATCATTAAAAATCTAATGCAAAGCCATTCTCTTAACCCTAATATGAGAAAGCCCTCTAAAAATGAAATCTAATAAATTTAATTGGCCCTAGCCAGTTTGGCTCAGTAGATAGAGTGTCAGCCTGCGGACCAGGGGGTCCTGGGTCTGATTCCAGTCAAGGGCACGTACCTCAGTTGCAGGCTCCTCCCTGGCCAGTGCTCTGGTCAGGGCATGTGCAGAAGGCAACCAATCGATGTGTTTCTCTCACATTATGTTTCTGTCTTTCCCTCCCTCTTCCACTCTACCTTAATCAATGGAAAACTATCCTCATGTGAGGATTAACCCAAAAATAAATGAATAATAAATTTCATTGGATTATTCATGTTCTGTATTTGTGATGTAACAATTTGTCTATTTAATTCTGAATCCCCACCCTCACCACTCACACAACACATGGTTGAATGTAAGATGCAAATGGCAGAAGTGTATCACTGGTTGTGTTTATTAAATTACTAGAGGCCCGGTGCACAAAGATTTGTGCACTCGGGGCGGGGCGGGGGGGAGGAGGTCCTTCAGCCCGGACTGTGCCCTCTTGCAGTCTGGGACCCCTCAGGGGATGACCACCTGCTGGCTTAGGCCCACTCCCCAGGGGATTGGGCCTAAGCTGGCAGTCAGATATCCCTCTGGAAGCCCGGGGGCCCTTGGGGGATGTCCACTTGCCAGTGGGGAGCAGACCTAAGCTGCAGTTGGACATCCAAGGCGCTGCTGAGGAGGTGGGAGAGGCTCCCACTACCACCACTGTACTGGCAGCTGTCAGCCTAGCTTGTGGCTGAGCAGAGCTCCCCCTGTGGGAGGGCACTGACCACCAGGGGGCAGCTCCTGCATTGAGCGTCTGCCCCCTGGTGGTCAGTGTGTGTCATAGTGACCAGTCATTCCCATCGTTCTGCTGTTAGGGTCAATTTGCATATTACCCTTTTATTATATAGGATAGAGGCCTGGTGCCTGGGTGGGGCCCGGCTGGTTTTCCCTGAAGGGTGTCCCCGATCAGGATGGGGGTCCCACTGGGGTGCCTGGCCAGCCTGGGTGAGGGGCTGAGGGCCATTTTCAGACTGGCCACACCCCCTTCAGGGTGGGGGTCCCACTGGGGTGCCTGGCCAGCCTGGGTGAGGGAGGGGGGTCCTGCTGGGGTGCCTGGCCAGATTGGGTGAGGGGCTGATGGCTATTTTCAGGCTGGTCACACCCTCTTCAGGGTGGGGGTCCCCGCTGGGGTGCCTGGCCAGCCTGGGTGAGTGGCTGATGGCTGTTTGCAGGCTGACCACAGCCCCTTAAGGGTGGGGGTCCCCACTGGGGTGCCTGGCCAGCCTGGGTGAGGGGCTAAGGGCTGTTTTCAGGCTGGCCACAGCTCCTTCAGGGTGGGGGTCCCCACTGGGGTGCCTGGCCAGCCTGGGTGAGGGGCTAAGGGCTGTTTGCAGGCTGGCCACAGCTCCTTCAGGGTGGGGGTCAACCACTGGGGTGCCTGGCCAGCCTGGATCTGGGATTTATTTATCTTCTATAATTGAAACTTTGTTGCCTTGAGCGGAGGCCACAGCTGGCCAGGGCAGGCGGGAAGCTTGGCTTCCTCCATCACCAGGGCAACCAAGCCTCCTGCTTGCTCCAGCTCCGTGGCTGCCCGCCATCAGCTTGGTTGGGTTAATTTGCATATAGCTCACTCTGATTGGCTGATGGGCGTGGCTTGGGGCATAGCGGAGGTGCGGTCAATTTGCATGTTTCTCTTTTATTAGATTAGATGACAACCATGGTTTAATCCTATCAATTGTACAGAAATTTTAATTGAAATTTTGGCTAGAAAATATCCAACTTCCCTGAATCTATAAATTTATCTTTAAACTGATATATGCCCTGTTTTCTTATATTTTAACAAATATATTTTATACTAAATATATTTTATATTTTTAACAAAAATTCAAACACCCTATTAGGTTATGAAATTTGCTTTGAAATACACATAAATTTTTATGGACTTAGATCAATTTTAGAAAAAAGTTTATAGTTCTAGAACTATTTCCAAACAACTATTTTCATAATGCTTTCTCCATAAAACTCCTTCAAAGGAGTGAGGGTTTTTTCTGCAAATGTCACTTTACCTTGATGTGGCAGAGTGTGTTTTACTTGGGGAGAGCTTTTTAAATATTTTCTGGATAGGATGCTTTTGGTAGCCACTTGCCATCAAAGAAAAGGTCAATGGATTTGGAGCCTTTCTCTTTTTGATAAAGATAATCCCATAACTGACACTCAAGTTCAAGAGTACTTTGTAGCACTTTCCACAAGAAAAACAGCAAACCTTATACAGCAGATTTTAAAAACTACTTCTTATGTCATTGTAAATTACAGTACTGTAAAGATTACACTATGTTTGAATTTAATCCATCAATTCTTTTAACCACACGGGATACATAACAGTTCAGATTGAAATACACAGAAAGTAAAGATGCCTCTCTCGACCCCTCTGCATGGTGAAATCCTTCCACCTTTCCCTTAACATACCTGCAGAAACATGAATGTCTAAAAAATGGACCAAGTGAAGACACCAGTGCCAACCCATACCACAGGACAAAAATTTTATTTCTTACTTTATTAAAAAATGGAGCAGTTGTTGTCTTGCATACCCACAGGATATATTCAGTCTCCAGAGTGAGTTAAAATGGGGGGGAGAGGGAACAGGGGAGATAAATGTCATATATAGATTTTATATTATACTAGAAATTCATGCACAGGAGCGGGGGGAAGGGGGTCCTTCAGCCTGGCCTGCACCCTC